GGGCCTTCCGGGTCCGAGTCCAAGCACCACAGGCAACCTTCTCTCACTGCGTTTCCCCTGCTTTTTTCGCGCCTCCACCCTTGACTCTGGAAACAGGAACCGAAAGAGCTGCCGACTCGTCACCACTATTTTGGTTTCCGTTGCCTGCGAAGAGACGCAACGGCGACGTGGCCTATTCTTAGAACGCGGCACAGTGTTCTTTTTTCATTTTCCCACTTCCTCCCGCGCCCTTTGGATTTACGCAAAACCAAAGAGAAGAGACCCTTCCACACAGCTGCTAGCGACGAAAGAAAAGTGAGGACGAATGCACAACACTTGTGACACGAGTCCCAACACAGCCCCTAACCCGCAGGAGCTTGTGGGGCCACGCAAGGGACACACGCGCAGAGGTATTAGGTAGTAAGTGAGAAGGAAGAATAGCCCCCACCCCACCACCCCATGTCCAGTGATCAGTCAGCGCAAGGAGAAGGGGGGGGGGAGGGCGGGAGAGTCACATATGTCCTTACCTCACGCTGCTTCCCAATTGATTGTAAAACTCATGCTTATTTACATTGTTTTGCTTCAGCTTGTTCTTTCTCATTGATACAGCCGTGCAATCGCCACAACAAGTATAAAACGGTTCTGCCGAAATCTACTCCAGCAACTATTCTGGGCGAATAAGAGAGGCCTGTTGATCCTGCACTCGATTTCTGGAGATTCGATCTCCCAGCAAGGTATCTATCTTCTTTTGAACAACGCGGTTAATGTGATTCCCATGCAGTATCAAGGAAGATATACGGGAGTTGAGCTGTGTGGCGTCAATCAGGTTGCTCGCGCCCCACTCTCCAATCTCGTTTGCAGACAAGTCAACTATCGAGATGGAGATGCCGTTCACAATGCTCCTTGAAAGCACAACCGCCGCCTCGTTGTCGAGTTTGTTGTCGCTCAAGTTAACCTCGTGCAGTGTGATGGTGGCGGCAATGAGGCTGGCTATGCGCATCCCACCCGTGGAGCCGAGGTCGCAGGAACTGAGGTCAAGGGTGGTCAAGGCGCCGCCCTGGTGCATGATGAGCGTTTTGGCAATCTCGTCCCCGCCAACGCTCCCTATCGGGTTGTCGGAGAGAGAGAGGGAGGCTAAAAACGTGTTATGCGCCAACCCGTCACGCGCCAGGTTGCGCGCCCCCGCCGCCGTCAGCGTGTTGGAGCGCAGATCCAGCGATTCAAGCGTGGAGTTATCCCGCAACATTTCGGCAAGCGCCTCTGTGGCGGCATCGGTGGCGTTGTTGTTGCCTAGAGTTAGTTCTTTCAAAAACTTGTTCTGCTTCACGGCCGTTGCGATCGCCACCACGCCGGCGCAGCCAAGGTGATTCCCGTACAGCTGTAGCGTCTTCAACGGGGAAGCGGGGAGTGCGAGGAGCTGTGCGATGCTCTGGGCACCGCTTGGCCCAATCTCGTTCAGGGAGAGATCAAGCGAGGTGAGGTAGGCGTTCTTTTCAAGGGCGCGAAGCAGCAGACCTGCTCCCTCCTGCCCAATCTTGTTTGCGCTTAGCCCCAATCGAGTCAGAGCGGTGGACATGGAAATCGACTTCAGCAGTTTGCGCACACACCCAGCTGTGAGAGCGTTCCCGCGAATGTCAAGCAACTGCAGCTTGGTAGAGACGTTCACAACGTTTGCCAGGGCGTCGCAGCCCTCCTTGCCAATTTCGTTGTACCGCAGTAGCACATCCCGCACCGCGGAGGATTCCAGCACTGCCGCGATCTTTTGCGTTTGCTCCGGGCCCAGTTGGTTGTCGATCAGGTCGACGACGCGCACAGGGACCTCCGCCTCACGATCCACGATGGCGCGGCAAATTCCCTCGCACATCTCTGGGGTAACGCGCGTCCACGCAACCTCGATCTTGAGCTCCTCCCTGTCGGCCTGCCCAGCCCAGGCACGGCCACGAGCAGGAGCATCCATGGTGCTTTTTTTGCTCGTCCCGGTGCTCGGCGAGTGCGCGGTCATCTTCTACCCACGTGGCACACGACGCAGGCGCCCCGCCGACCGCAACGACCACAGGCGACTGCTGTCCACTCCCGTTTCAGAGTGCGCACTAGCGGGCGCCTGCCGATTGCGCTCGCACGCCTCCGCAGCTCCCAAAGTTCGGGTTGCCTGTCAGCCGCCTTCGCCGCACGAGCGCCGCTCACTTCCCGCAATAACAAAAAAAAAAGGATCGGAAGCATGCAGACTGTTTTCGCAGAGAGCAAGAGAGGAGAGTAAAAACAAGCACGTTGCATTCACACGGTTTGTTTATCGCGCACCCCTCCTGCGTCTTTTCTCTCCAAGCACAAACGGCAAATCATCGAGGATGAAAAAGACAGAAACAATGGGAAAGCGTAGAAACTCTGCACATATACAATGTGCGCCTACATAATTACGTGTTTAGTTGGATCTGTGCCTGCACGAATGTATGCGAAGCCCATGAACCACCGCCACGAGCTGGCCGGGGCTCTCTCGCCCCGCGCCCACACGCCACGTCCCATGCAGCGTTTCTTTTACAGAGTACATCATACGCACAAAGAGGCTCTCTTGGTTTATTTTCATCCCTGGTTGTTTCGGTTGCTGTTGTCTTTTTTTTTTGTGTGTGTGGTGGTTGCCCTTTCGGGTATGCTGCTGGGAAAATGATGGCAGCAGGAGTAGTGAATGTTGTGTGGGGTGGGCAGAGGTGTACGTGCGTGCGTAAATACACCAATACAAAAATGTTCAGAAGCGCGCAGGAGGTGAACGCTGTGGTTCCCGTTGCCACAGCGGCGGCATCGGCAGCGGGCCGCTGCAGAAAGCACACACACACACACACACAAGCATGCACAGACACACACACACACACAGACACATACATACATACATACATACATATATATACATATATATGTGTTGGCGGGCGAGAGAAGCTAAGCAGGTGGTGTGTGTGTGTGTGTGTCCGAGAAGGAAGTGGCACACCTCCTCCGTCCTCGCCCAACACAACCACCAGCGGGAGGACAGCGAAGGAAAACAAAGAGAAAAGAAAAAGAAAAAAAGGCTGCTCATGCGCACAGTAAAAGCAACGAAATTTAAACGAAATAAAAAAACAACAACAACAACGACAACAACAATAATAGTAGTAACTGAAACTACTATTTGATATAAATTTTTTGATGCGCCCAACGCACAATTACAAAGTGGGCCAGTGACACATATGCGTATATGTATATACATTTTTCCAGCCCGTGCACGTCGCGCCTGGCAGGTGAAGTAAGCACAACAAGTGAGACAATGGATGCATGCAATGCGTCCCCCCCCCCCATTCAGCCTCACCGCTGTGCAGAAGTCAAAAGGGAGGGAAGTAGGGATGAAACAAAACAAAATCATAATTAAATAATCCGCAATAGAGGAGGTTTCATATTATCAAGGTATCAACTTTATTAATAGCGTTTTTGTTTTTTCTTCGTTGCTCCCATTACTTTGATATAATTACAAACACTCATTTTATTTATTTTACTTCCGTCTGCGTTTTTCGCGTCTTCAGTCCTCTTTTTTTTGTGTTTTTATTTGCAGCTGCAGCCTCCTCAAATACGCAGATTCAACTAGCGTGTGTATAGTACACATACACAATACACGCCACTATACACCGCACTGCGGATTACGATTATACGCCGGCATTTAGACTCCTGTGCAGCAGTAAAAAAAAAAAAGGATGTTGTTCTCTTCTTCTTTTTTTTTTCTTTTGTGTTCTTCGCCTGCAGAACGCTCTGTCACTAGCGCGACACGGTTTACTTTTTTTGCCTGGTCATTGCCTCCCGCAGCATCGAGTGCAGGACGCCACCCTTGGCGATGTCAAGGACTGTGCCGCGCTGCGGGTGCCGGTACGTGAAGCTTTCCGCCGTCGCAGTGGGGGGCAAGCCGCAGAACCAACGCACAACGTCCCTGCGATCCTGCAGCACCGCCTGCATGAGGGCGTTGGTGCCGTCACTCTGCACCCGATTGGGGTTCGGCACGAGGCCCAGGGACCAGAGCGCCTTAGCTAGTGCCACATTCCCCAGCGCGCAGGCGTTTGAAAATATCGTGTCCCCTCCCGCCCCTTCCACCTGCCAAAAGTCGACCTTCACATTCCCCTCGTTTTTGAGGCGGGAGAGGAGGCCATCCAGCGCCGTTGCTGGGGCGTTTAACGCCGGTGAGCGGAGTACGGCCTCCACGGCCCCCTGGAACAGCGGGACAACTTTGCCTCTGATGCCTGGCGAGGAGACACGGTGGAATGCGTCCAGCACAATGCGCAGCGCCTCCACGCCCGCCGGGGCGGGGTCGCACATAAACGACCGTAACAAACTATCCCAGTGGATGTACTTCATCACCTGCACACAGCGGGGTGACATAATGACAGAGAGCATCACGGTATAGCCGTGAACCACGCAAAGCCCTGGAAGTCCATTAAGCAAGATCGTGTCGAATATCTCTGGAGCGTCGAGCACGTGTAGTATGGTCCTCATCAATGACACATTCCCGGCGGCTACCGGATTGGAATCGTCATCGCCGGTCTCTACCACTTTGGAAATGACCTTGCAGCAGAGTTCAAGACACCTGGAGCTCCTCATCTCCCAGTGGGACGCGTTGAGCTCATAGAGCTCACTCAAACGCTCCTCCACCACATGCTTTTGCTTTTGAAGTTGTTTGGCCTCCAACACATGCGGGCCTTGCGCGAGTAGAGGGGAGTTCAGGGCCCGGTATAGCCCCCGAAGTGCACAGAGCAACGACTCCTCTTCCAACGGGACGAACTCGGGGTCTACATGGGACCCCAACGCCTCATCCGACTCGTCCACCGAAGACACGCATTCGGCGCGAGCGGCCGCTGAAGTCCCAGACGGGCGATGACGCAGCACTTCTGGCGTGGTTTTTGCTTCAGGGACACTCCTCGAGCGCTCTCCGCGTGGCGTGTCGTCTTCATCGGTGTCAGGAGGGGAGCTTTTCACATCATGAATCGGACGCGCCTCTGTGGAAGCGCGATAGGCGTCCGCGCGAATTGGCATACTCTCCTTTGCATCTCCACGTAGTGGCGCCTCTTGCGGCGCCTGCTTCCCTACGCAACCTGGAGGAGCCACGAACATGTTGTCTCCACTCTTCCTGGTGGGCATCGCATCACCTGCGGAGTTGTAGTCCAGATGGGAGTTGGGTGCAGGTTGCATCCTCCCGCTAGACGAGGCTCTGTGCTTCTGCTCCGCCTCCCCGCCCCTCGTGTCCGCTCGCCGCTCCTTCCCCAAGACACCCGGCAGCGTAGGTTCTTGGCCTTCCTTCGTTGCGGTGGGCCGCGCAGGGTTGGAGCCGCGAGCGTCTCCGGGGCTAAGATGCGCCCCCCGCGCTTCCTCCGCTGTCACCGTGGCCTTCCCCGCCGCATAGCCGTGACCGGCGGCAGGCCTACTTCTGGGACTCCCGGCGAGGAGGCCTCGGAAGTCAAAGTTGTAGTCCTGCGTCGTAGCCTGGGAGAGGCATTCTTCCATGTCACCCTGCATTTCCTCCGCATCACTATCTTCATGGACAAAAGGCCTGCGAAGCGAGGAGAGAAACTCCAGCACACCGTGTCGACTGCGTTCCTTCACCTGCGTTTCATGCGTTAGGCGATCGATGGGTTCAGTTGCGATGCAATCGTAGAGCTCAATTAGCGGAAAGATGCGGTAGTTGTCCTCGTCAATTTGGTACTCCAGCAGGTGTCTTGTGCGGAGGTCGGAATGCGTCTTGTAGTACAGCAGAGACAGAAGGCGGACGTGAATGAATTGCGAGTGGCCCCCCTCAATGTAGGGGGAGATGGACTTCTTGCGACACGCCTTGTGACGCCGCAGACGCCGCTGAACATTTCCGCTGACGTTCCCCTTATCAGGCGGTCGCGCCGGCAGAAAGAAGAAGAATACTATAAACATGATCGGCTCCACGGCGAAGAGGGCAATGTGCGGCACAAGCAGGAGCAGGGCCGACAGGGTGTCGACGGCGAGGAGCGTCAGCCACTTCCACACGCTATCTTTCGGCTCATCGACGGAGGGGAGAAACCACACCCGCGAGGTGAAGGGCACCAGGAAGAGGGCCAGCAGGAGGTAGAGGAGGAACGTGTACCAGTGGGACTCAAAGAGGAAGTTGTTGCCGGCAATGGTGAGCTGTATCGCATTGAAGGCGTTCACCAGGGCGATCCCACGCATAGGAAATAGAAAGCGATTCATCCGGGCGTCCTGGAAGAAGAGACTGAGCATGATTGTTCGCACCAGGTTTTGCTGTGACACGGTGGCCGACACGGCGTACACAATAATCAGCACCGCGTAGTAGAGCGGAAACACGGAGGGAAGCTGCAGCCGCACGGAGAACTCCTTCATCACCTCGGAAGGTGCAACCCACACGGGAAAGTTTACGACCACCGTGAGGGTGAAGATGACGAAGTTGACGACGAGCAGCAGCATCACAACGAGCATTCGCTTCGTCCAGCGACGTCCGGAGCAGGGGGCGTAGCGCACAGGCACCAAGGTACGGTAGTTGAAGACGTAGACCCCGTCCTTGGCCATGATCTGACGGTAGACCGTGTTAATCTCGCGTGAGTGAGGAAAAGTCTGCAACGCCTTGGCCGCGTTGTCGACGGCCTCCGGGATGTGGTGACTGACGTACAAGGCGAGCGTCAGACAGTTTTGCGCCACCCCGCAGTTTGGGTACTGCCACGCCAGGCAAATAGCGCGGCTAAGGAAGTTGTCTGCACGACTCATCGTGGCGTCCAGCGAGAGTGCAACCCTGCCTAGGCGGACGTTTGGGTAAAACTGCCGCAGCCGCCGCGACCACGCCTCACACTTGCGCAGCACCTCCTCGCAGAGCGTGGCGCCCTTCTCGAGGAGCGCCTGGGCGGTGTCGGTGTCGCAGCCCAGTGAGGCGGCGCCATCCCCGAGCGCCATGACCGCCAGAACGGTCTGCAGCAGCACAAACCCCAAATGGCAGCCAAAGTAATACGTTTTTAGTGGCGAGCAGTCGGTGAAGGCCAGTTCCACGGAGCCAACGATTTCCTCCGCACAGCCCACCGCCAAGCAGACATTGCCCCACGCTTCAATGTACTTGCCCCGCGCAAAAAAGTGATGGGCGCGATTCAGGTGAAACGGCAACATTTGCCGCACGGAGGCGCACGTCGGAAGATGGCTTGGGTACAATAATCGACCTGCAGGCGTGTTTGCCCGCAGCTTCGCGCCGTCGCTGCCAAGACCTCCAAAAAACGCCGGACAGAGCGAGAGGTATAGTTGTCGCTGGGGCGACAAGGCCGTCTTCAGCAGGGTGGCGGAATCCTCCAGGGCAGTGCAAGCAATAACCATCAGATTCAGCAGCCAGTCACCCACGTCGTAGTTCGATGCCGCGGGGATGGCGCAGCGCAGCACCTTCAGCGCGGCCTCCACGCACCCGATCTGCACAAGCGTCAAGGCATGCACATACTCACATAACACAAAGACGTATTCACGCAGCTGCGCTTCCCCCTCGTACGAAGTCACCATTTGCACCGCCTGCGGAAGTGGCATGAGGAAGGCCGAAATACTGGCGCCCACCGTGGAGACGAAGTGGTTTCCCTCCCTCAGGAGCTCCAGGGCATCCTTCGCCGCAATGGTGCGCTCCCCAATTTCAATCAAAGACATGCAACGCAGGAAGCGGGACATGACCCGCATGTTTGCATCCATGATCCTGAAATTTGACTCTTCAACCGAGAGAAACCGCGTCGCAGCGGCAATAGCACTGCGATAGCGTCGCGTCTTCCACGCCGTGACGGCATTGATGAGGTCAACGTCACTCTCTTCACACTGCAAGAGCAGAATGTCCTCCAGCTCATTCTGGCGAAACTGCTCCGGCACAAGTTTCTGCCGCTGCCGCTGCCGCTGCCGCTGCCAGGCGGGACGCTGAGCTTGGTCCACCACCGCCGCCTCGGGGATTCCCTTCGTGAAGAGTGCAAAGAAGAAGTGGAACCACAAGACGTTTGGGGGCCTGTACTCGCCCCCCTCGTGCAAAAAGAGGGCTATGATGAACCAGCGGTGAATTGAGTCCCAGTCCAGAAAGGCAGCGGCGTCTAACACGGCTGCGTAGTACTCCTCCTCATCCCGTGCTTGTGCGCTTGCCCCCATCACCTCCTCCGCCGCGGCTGGCCCGGTCATCCAGCCCACGATGAGTTGGTTCAGCCGCCACACATAATCCTCCGCGGGGTAGTTTGGGCGCAGACGTCCTTCATGCGCCAAGACGCAGGATGCTATGATGTACGCCTCCAGCATTTTCAGGGCCATGTCCGTGTTCCCGCACATCGTGAGTGCGGCTGCCAAGCAGACGATGTCGTTCCTCGCCCTGCTCAGGCGCTGCGCCTCACCAAAGCAGCCCACCGAGAGGCAACGCCAGGCCTGCGGGACATGCGTGTGGTGCTCATGAACAGCCGCGGCGACACGTTTCCGGACACTTGCGACGAAGGCGGCGGAAGAGGTGTCGTGACGCCCACCGGGTGGCACACGTTTCGCCGCTTCGTCGTGCATTCTCGGTCGCCCCTCTTGCCCCGCTCCGTTCCCGCCGGGCCGAAAGTCCCCTTTTCCTCCTCCTCCCCGTGCGGCTCTTTCCATCACCAACTTTGACTTCGCAGGGATAACTTGCGCCCTCTGCTTCCTGGGCACGTGCAGAGAGACGCACACACAGACAGAGAGAAAAAGAAAGAGAAAAGTGCTTCTTCCCGGCGAGAGCGGGGCGCGGAGACGCACGAAAGAGCGAGAGCAAAAAGATGTCATCGCCACAAGACACAACGAGGAGGGAAGCCGCACGGAGAGGGAGAGAACCAACAAACGAGCAAAAGATCGAGTAACGAAACAACGAAAAGGGAGGGGAGGAAAAAAAAAAGAGGAGGACACGGCGAGGGCAAAAAGGAGACCCTTATATTTAAGACCAATGCGGAGGAGACAAGTAGCGGTGAATCACGAGCTGAGTGGAGAAGTATAAGCACCCCCACCCAAAAAGAAAAGGTCGCCTCTCCCCCAACCAAGCACGCCATCTACAGGAGAAAGCATACGCGTCTGTGTGTGTGCGTGTGTGTGTGTGCACGAGTGTTACACTCACACACGCACACAGAGGCAAAACCAGCAGAAGAAACAAACAACAAGAGCAAGTAAAACAAAGAAAAACTAGATACAGTTTGTGACTGCAGCCAGCTCCTCCTGCACCAGGTCATATTCCCCGCACACGGCACGTACATTTGGGTGCGTTTGGCTATGTTGGCCCGCAAGGGTCTTGAGAAACGACTGTGCGGCGCTGACGCCGTCACGGAAAAAAAGACGGCGCGCCGACCAACAGACGTCCGACGATGAGAGCATGGCTAAGCCCGAACTGCCTCGACGCGCAAGCGCGAGGGACTCCTCGAGAGGCCGAATAACCTCCCCATTGTGATCCACCCTCACGCGCGGGACGCGCGACGTCTGCTCCCACTTCTGCTCGCGCAGCAGAAGAGATTCACCAGTCGACATCACGCGCCGCAGCGCGGCGCTGCAGTACGGCAGGAGCGCGTGCGAAAGCGAGGGACACGAGGCTACGTGTGCAAAGGCGTCATCAAAGAACGGCGCGAGGAGGGCACGCCACTCCGGGCAGTGCGCGCCGCCGGCGGCGTCCGCGAGAGGCGCAAAAAACGCCGCCGCCGTGAAGCACGCCGACACGGCGCCCCGTTGCCCCATAACGGCCAGGGCCTGCCGCAGCATCACCAGCAGTCCGTGCAGCTCCGAGAGGTACGGCAGCAACACGGCAGACGCGGAGGTCACAGAGACCGCCGCAAAGACGTCCGCCAGCGCCCGAAAAACGGCCAGCAGCGCCGCATAATTCTCACCCTCGCCGTGCTGAGGGGTCGCGGATGCGTCGTGGTTGTGCTTCACGCCTTCGAGCAGCGACTGGACGACCTCGTGCGCCACATCACGAAGAGGAAACCTCGAATCCACCCTTCCTGCGTGGAGCCAGGGGTCAAGCGCCGACTCAAGTGCCGCCTCCGTCGACATCTGCACCGCGTCCTCGGCGGCAAGAAGCGCGGGGTTGCGCCGCACCGTGCCTACATTCCCTCCAGTGGCACTCGCAGCAGTGTCTCCTTCGGGGGATGTGGCCGTGATTTCCTCGTGCGCCACGGCAAACGAAGCCAACCCTGTGAAGTAGATGATGTGCAACACCGCAGACGGTGCCCGCATGGGGGTCAGTGAAGCCATCGTGGGGGGAGAGAAGAGTCCGGTGCGCACCTCACCCGCCATGGTCTCTCCACCGCGGCCGGGGCGATAATACAACGAGAGGCACAGCCGGTCGACCCCAAACACGTCTCGTGAGGGCGCGTGGGAGAAGAAGGAGAAGACTCCACCGTCGGACGCAAAAAATGACGCATGGGACAGATCCAAGTGGATTTCCAGCGGCGCATGGTCTCCTGTCAACGGAAGGAAAAACAACGTCGCCGTCGCGCCGTCGCGCTGCTTGGAGGTCCCGAGGAGCAGGAACCCGCACAGGGAACCAGCGACCCAGCTGACGTCGCAAAAAGTCACACCAGAGGGCGTGGCGACGGCGGCGGACGCACACGACATCGTAGCAGGCGCCTTGGCGTTAGAGCCAAGAGCCACCAACCACGCCTTGTGCTCGTTTGGCGACACGGCGCAAAGCACAGCCCCATTGGGACTCACGGAAAACATTGGACTAGCCGATGAAAACTGCGGCACGGGCAGCGTCAAGTTTCCCTCCAAAGATGGTTCAGGGACGTTCGCCTCATCTATGGCACGCGCAAAGAAGGGCGTTGTCGGCCAGCGCTGCATCACGCCAAGGGGGACATGCGCGTCCGCGCGGGGCTTGTTCGGACCCAGGCTCCCCATCCAGGCGCAGGTGGCGTGTGCACCCTCCGTGTCGTCGCCCAAGCTGACCTGAAACACCATTGCCGCCCCATAATCGGTAAGCACCGCCACTTCCACGACGATGGCGTGTGAAACGGAGGCCGCAAAACACAACGGCCGCCGCACAGAGGCCCAGAGAATGAGCTGGTTACACCCCATCGTGGAGGCCGCCGCCGCCGCAGACGCAGCTCCTGAACAAGACATAGGCGCCACCAGAGGCGTTGTCCGAAACGAGGGCGCACGCCGCTGGGCGTCGGCGACGCGAAGCGAGTAGCACTGGATCCTCCCTCCAGGCCCAGAGAAATGGGAGGCAAGTAAAAAGACGGCCCCACCACAGCGGCTTATCAGTACATGTCGAGCATCCTCTGGCGCTGGCAGGAACAAGGCATTGTAGCGAATGGTAACTTCTTTCCCCTTCACACGTGGTAGTGGGCGAAGAATGAGCAGATTCACCTGTGTCCTCGAGGCGCGAAGAAGCATGGCAACCGTTGGCAGACGTTGTGCTCCGGCGCCCGTTCTCTCCCCCGGCCCCATCTTCACGCTGCTGCACTCACTGAAGGCGGAATCCATCACGTGGGCGGGTTGGAGCGGGAACCCGGGCACGGAGTCCGCGGCGGCGCAGGCAATGCGAAAAAAATAAGGCGTCTTCTTCTTTTCGCGCGCCCCGGGAAGACGAGGGCGCGTCGAAGTGTCATGCGCACTGTGAAAAACGAGATCCAGTTTGCCTGTCACGGTGCAGCATCCCCAGTCAAGGGTCGTAGCAGAAGCTGGATCGGGATGTGCAGCGAAAGCGACGCAGTTCTCGCGCGCCTGTATGCGGGAAGGCACACGCTCCACGCGAAGAGGCTCAAACATTGCAATTGCGTCTGCGTAAATTTATGCGTGAGTTCCTAGTCCGAGCAAAGTAAAAATAATAATAATGCAGACGAAATAGGCTCCCTATGAAACTGTCTATGCGCGTCGGTGTCTATGTAGCCAGTAGTAATAATAATACTCACCGTCTATGGAGTTGTATTGAATGTCTTACCTAACCCTGAGCAAAGTCCTCCGCTTACGCAAGATCCCTGTACAGCCCTGGGGCCTCACGGCGCTTGCGGTTCACGGAAAACGTGCGCGGCCCCAACGGCGTGAATGCCGCCTGCGAGGTGACTAAAAATCCCCCTCCACACCCTCGCACCCGCCACAAGAAGGCAGCAGCTGGTGGCAGAGAAGCAAAGCGAGGAAGATTGAAGAAGATGCAAGGGGCAAAATGGGGCGCCGTCGCGCTGCAATGGGCCTGCGCAAGGAGGATTTGCAACGCAACGTGCGAGGAGCTCCCCCCTCCCCACACGCGCACCGGCACCGACAGACATATATACAATTCGGGGTTGGCTTTGCGGCCTCAACAAACGGTAACGTAAGAGCCGTACGCACGCTAATAATACCTCTTTTTTTCTTTTGTTTCTTGGGTGGGGGGTGTAGGGAAGTATTTTGTTTCAGACGCGTTTCAGCGTGTGGGTGTGGAACCCCAAAACAATAACAACTACAACCACCACGGAAGAAAACAAAACAAAACAAAACAAGCCAAAAAAAAGCAAACTGCCTTATCTATGTGTCTGTCAGTGGCAGGAAGGTGTCAAGGAAGTCCTTCATTGAGTGCCCTTGGCATTGCTGTGGGGCTCCGTCGTTGTGCGCACTTTTTCCGCGGTCCCCCTCCGCACTGCGTTCCTGCCATCCCTGCGTTCTATCGCTGGCCCAATGAGGCGCGCACCTCACGAGGCACCGGCACCAGCACCGACACCGCTGCTCCCCACTTCAATGGTGCCGTCCCTCTCTTTTACTGAGCGGTCGTAGAAGCACGCATTGGCGGGGATCGGCTCATCCAGGGAGGAGGTGGAGTAGATGCGCTGATCAACTAAGTGGGACACAACGTCCTCCTCAACGCCGTGCGCCGCCACGAACACATACACCGCCGCACTCGGGTGCCGAAAGAGTGAAAGCTCCACAGTGTCCTCGGTAACGGGGCGAAGAAATACGGCGACGGTGGTGAGTCCACGAGGCTCCTCCACACTCATAACCTCCTGCATCACGTCCTCCGCGCGCTCTATTGTCAGGGACGGTGGCACAGACACTAAGGCTGACGCCGGCACTTGAACCGGCACAATCACGCGTCTACAGTTATATCGAGAGGCGGCAATCAACAGCACATTGATCTCCTTCGCCGTGGGATTTCCTATCAAAGCGGCTACAACATCCCCTCTAAGCGCGTATGGTGCGGCGTTGGGCGGCTGCGGATGTAGTCGTTGAGCTGAAGGCGGAGATCCGGCGCCGTTGGCACCACTTCCCTGCGTCGCCTTCAATGCGTCGGCGTCCACCAGAGGGACTGGCGACAAATCTCGCGAGGTGGGCACTGTGTTGGGGCTTGTGGGGTCCTCCGAGGGGGACCGCGCGCCGGTGGTGTCCTTCTTCAGAAAAGGCCGCACACTCACCGCTGCAGGCAGCGACGTCGCTCCCTCGGCCGCGTGGCCGTTGGCCCCAAATTGCACTGGATGCTTCAGCGTCTCCGCCTCCTCCTCTTCGGCGCCGGCGAAGTTGCTTTCTTCCGCCGCGAGCACGGCCGAGATCTCGGAACTACGCAAAAATGGCCCCCCTCTCTCGTCCCCGTCGAGGACCAAGGGAGGGAATCCCTCCTCCTCCTCCTCCCCCACCTCCGCCGCCCCCAGTCGCGCCTGTCGCCGGGCAACGATGCCGCGAGCAACGGAAATGGCGGAGAAGGAAAGTAACGGAAGGAAAAGTACAAGCGGCACCATCGGCCCCGAAATCACATGCGTTGTTTGAGAAATAATCTCATTCTTGGCACTCTCAAGGCTTCCGAGGGCGCCGGCCCAGCGATCCTTTTGTAGATCAGCGAGGGCAGGAACGCCGCATGCGCACAGCAACTTTTTAACCAAACCTTCAACCATCAACGGAAGCCCGAGACGCGCCCGCTGCATCCATTCCGGCACATTCGGGTAACCTGCCGGCAGGCCGTGCAAATCATGCAATGGAGAAGACTTGTAGCTCACGTGACGCTGAGCCGCAGCCAACGTAATAGCATGCACAACACGACACATGGCACCAATGCCGCCTGATCCGGCGAATACAACAGAGCAAAAAATCAGCGGCCGATGTAAAAAAGAAAAAGCTGATCTCACCTTGCGAGCGACGTTGCCCTCCAGGTAAAAGCTTGCAAAGGTAGAACTTAACTCATCCGATCGCGGGGACTGCGGAAAAGAGGAGTCATCGTAAGTTTGACTGTCATAGGTGCGGGTGTCGTAGGTGTGTGTGTCGAAAGTGCGAGAGTTGTATGTTCTGCTATCGTACCCAGTGGCATACTCGTCATCGTACTGAGATTGCTCCTCATTCAAATACGATCCCGCCGTAAGATCTCTCTCGGACGGTGTATGCTGTGAGGTGAGGAAGGAAGTTTGGTCCTCCATGCGGTTGTTATCGCCTGTCTGACCTCCATCCAACGTATCAGAATAAGCAGTGGAGGTGTTGTGCCCCGACGTGTCCATAATGCTGCTCATCTCCCTATCGCCTTCCTACCCACTAGCCTTAGTTAATAATACAAGGCGTTATTCCTCGCTATCTTACTATGGATATATATATATATATATGTATGTACGTATATGTATGTGGGCGGACGGCTATTACTGTTGGTGTTGCTTTGTTGTATTATATGTCTTTGACTTCTTTTTTCTTTTCTCTTCCCCGCCTCGCCGTGGTGGGCGCTCAGGGACACCCCACACCCACCTCGTGCTCTCGCCCGCTCTGCGTCTCCGTATGTCTCTATCACCTCCGGTATTGCTGAGTGAATGTATGCAGAATATGTTGCACCTGCACGCCCCGCCTCTTAACGGGAGCACTCTCACCCCTCCTATTTTTGTTTTGTTTTGTTTTGTTTTGATGCGTGTGGGAGGCATCAAGCCAGCAGAGACACATAGAAGGAAAGAAGATACAAAAGCAGAGAGAAGGAAGATACAAAAAAAAGAAAAAGTTACGGAGTGGAAAGAAAGCAAAAACAAACAAACAAACAGAGAAAGAGGAACGGGAGAGAAGTGGGGAATGGAAAACGCCCTGCGCATGCAGGGGCCAACAACACCGCTTCTTCAGAAGAGGAGTCAGCAGACAAGGACGACGCGTTGGAACTCACTCCCAGAGGAGGAGGGCAAAATGAAATACTCCACTACAAACACCGCATAGGCTCGCATGGTGCTTGTCATTCCGTATTCATTGTTGCTTTTGTTGCTCTTGTCGATAGGGGGGTGATGTTCATGCAATTTTTTTTTTCGCTTCTCTTTATAAGGAGAACACGCCGCTTTCTGCGCCCTCTGCCCGTCCAAGGCACACAACGGCCCATCTCCCGCTTTCGCCCACATTCCTTCGACGCGCAACAGCAGCGGCTTTTTCTTTTTCTTTTCGTTTTTCCCCTTTTTCCAGAGGGCTTGATGTTCACCCCCTCCCGCCCTTCCGCTTGCGCGTCCTCTTGCCTTCAGTGCGGCCGGGCGTCAGTTCCCCCAGCTTGGCGAGCGCGAGCGGCTGTGGCGCCTTGGCCGCGACGAAGTGCGTCTCCGCTTCCGCCACCGCCGCTGCTGCTGCGACGTCGTGGAGGAGCGCCTTCGACGTGGAGCCGACGACGACGAGGAGGAGGAGGAGGGGGAGCGTGAGTGGCGTCTGCGTCTACGCGACGGGGAAGGCGAGGGCGAGGCGGAGCTCCACGGAGAGCGCCGCCTATCCTGCCGCCCTGCGTGCCGCTCGTCCTCGCGGCGGCGGCGCCGATGCTCGGGCCGCGCGCTCTCCCTCTGCCGCCACCCGTCGCTGGTGTCACTGCGGGGTAGGCGCGCCCGGGGGTCCCTACGCTCCGGCGGCCGTGGCGCCCTCTCCGCCGCCCGCCTGCCGTAACCGCCGCCGTCGTGCCCGGGGCCGCCGCCGAGCTTGGCAAAAGACACGTTGATGCGGTTGCCGTCCATAACGGTGCCGTGCAGATGCACGTAGACCAGCTTGGTGTCCTCCAGCGTGTCACCGGCGACCTCTGCCCTGCCCGTGGGGCAGGAGAGCCAAAGCACAGGGGAGGGCATCGTCACCCGCCGCACCTTCGCAAAGGGCTCGATGAGCTCGCGTATGTGGGCCTCCGTGACGCTAGTGGGCAAATTAGACAGCCGGGCCACCACATCCACCGCCATGGTTCTGGGGACTGTTCTTCTTTTTTGTTTATTTCAGTTTTTTTTTTTTCGTGTGTGTGCCGACACGGCGACGGCGACGGGGTCGGGGTCGGGGTCGTTACGGGAGGAGGAAAGCGAGGAAGGCATTGCCACAAAGAGCGAAGAAAAAGACGAGAACAAACACACGTCAAATGCGCAGGCCCCAAATAATTCATGTGCACACACGCACACGGAGACAGACAGAAAGAGAGAGAGAGAGAGAGAGGCAGAGAAAGGGAAAAGCACGCGCACGTGTGGATCACTTGAGAGACGAGCGACTGCAGCAGGGACGGGAAACAACAACATCCCCACAGGTGCGTTGTCTGCTTGGTTGTTTGTCGTGTTGCTTCACCCCAAGGCAGGAGCTAAGGCTAAGTACAACGTAACGAAAAACAAAAACAAAAAAGAGGCCAATTCAAGTCCCACCTGCCTCCTGGGCCGCACAATTCACGATGAACTCATTGGAAACACTCCTGTGTCTTGGACAAAAGTTCCTGGTAGACCTCAGTGGAGCGTATCTGCGGAAGAAGCACAAGCAACCCGCCTACAAAATGGCCCTGTGAACGGCACCCTATCAGGGTGAGCATGCAACACCCATCGAGCGCCTGCACCACCGTGGCGTCGTGGTACTGGAGACTGATGTACGCCGGGACGCCCAGCTGCAGCTGTTCCAAATTTTGAAAGCAGCGCGCCCCACTGAGCACCACATTGCTCTCAATGGTGAGGTCATCGTCGCCGCCGTACGAGGCATCGTGGGCCGCGCCCTCCTGCCCCTCCGGCAGTTTGGGGGACCCAAAGCAGGCCATGATGGTGTTCCCCTGACGGTCCGACACCACCACCTGCGTGAGGAGGCGCAGGTTGATGAGTTGGTTAAAGTACTGCTCCACCGCCGTCACAGGCCCCTCCATGTCTCCTTCCCCCTGGTCTCTATCTCCCTCTCTGTGTGTGTGTGTGTGCTTGAGTAGGTGGTCGTCTTCGCCCTCGCGCTGCGGACACATTTTGTGCGGGGAGGAGGGAGAAGAAGAAAAAAAAGCGGGCAAACGCACAGAAGGGATTAAAAAATGGGGCCTATGGCGTGGGGCACGCCTCTCGCCCATTGGAGCCATCCGCCCAACCTCCAGCCCACGCAGCGGCCGCAGAGAGAAACAATTACACGACGAGGGAAGTGCGACGAGCAAGGCGATCAGAAAAATATCTCCTCATCAAAAGATTTGTTTACACGAACTTCCGACAGCCCTGCGTGTGCCGCGTCCACAGCCGGCCCCTCAGCCGCAGGGGTCGACGTCGCCGCAGCGACGGTGCTGGGAGGCTTTTTAAGGTAATAGTTCAGCAGTGTGTGCTGCGCCGCCTCATTCATGGCCTCCATGAGAGACTCACCTTTGCCCTGGCCAATGCACCGCCTCCCCGCGTACAGGCGGCACACCGTATACTCCACCTGTCTAAACTGCTGATGTGCATACAATGAGGCATATGGATTGGTTTCATGCACCTCTGTCACACTGCGAACAACCTGATCCACGTCGATGGGCGCCGACGACAACGCCTTCGGCACATTTGGATCGTAACGGAGTATAATCTGGGTCTCCTTAAAAGCGTTTTGTGGGCGTATGCAGTGCAGCATCGCCGGTGGTGCCACCTTGTGATGCCGTGTGACGCGGTAATCGTCGAAGATGTCATCACGGAGACTCTGCGTCGCATGTGCCCCACCGCTAGATGCAAACTGATCCCGGCGGGCATCCGCACGAGTATTTAACGGGTGCGTCTGTTCAGATAGCACCTCCAATTCATCTTCGGTCATGTGCCGAAGCTTCTCCAGCTCCTGCTGGATGCGTGTCGCCAGCATCTGCTGCCGCTCACGCGCTTCCGTGGGGCCCAATTGAGACGAACACGCGTCGCTTTCCGTTACCGTTGGCTGTCGGAGCGCCTCCGCCGCTTGTTGGGCGGAGTCCAGCACCTGCGACACGTGCAGGAAGGAACCCAATTGACTGCAAAACAACTTTTTGATCAGCGGCTGCAGGCGAACGCCATCACCCGATTGCTCAGCCATTTCAATGAAAGCAACAAAGGCAAATATGGACCCTCGAATCCACTCCATGCGCGGCAGCAGATCCTCCTGGTGCACGGGAAAGAGCTTAAGTCGCCCCGCGGCAGAGCGAAGGACCCCCCGCCAATACCATCTTCGCTGCTGCGGAACACCGTTTTCAATGCGCTGCAAGTGCGCAGCCGCCTTGCGGCGTGCGACTTTAAAGCGCTCCGTCAGCACGTTCAGCTCTCGCCACATACTTATTTCTCCACCCACGTTGCACATGTCTGCAAACCCCAGACGCAGCGCCACACGTCCACACGCCAAAAGCCCACAACACTCGTGAAGAAGCGCCTGCAGGTGTTTTGAGCGAAGACGCGGAAACGCCTCTTGAGCCGTACTCGCAATGCATGTTTCAACGAGGGCCTTCCCCCGATTTGCAAGAATGCCGTGGACAGGAGAATCCAGTGGAGTGTTGTCCAGCATGCGCCAAATGGTGTCGATGTCCCGCAGCGTCAACCCCTCGGCGGCGCCAGCGGTGTGGGCGTCCCCTCGCGACATCGCCCGCGATGCTGAAAGACCAAGGGCGCACAGGGGCGAGTCATGCCTACAACGCTCGGGCACCTGTGGGCCTCCCGGCCCTGACACCGCATGGAACGAGGAGGATGACGCGGATGACGCCGTCGCCTCTTTTAGCAGCTCTTCCAGAGGTCGCAGGTACTTCGGTGTGAGGGACTCGGCCTCCAAGAAAAGCCCATCCTTCTCACACACCTCAAGCATGAGGCGAAAGGCGTCCCCCACACTGCGTTCTGCAGGCACCGTCGCGAGTGCAATTGAGCCGCGCCGCTCCACCACCCTTCTTAGGCGTCGCTGGTCCTTGTACTTCTCATATGCGGGGTTATTTGACCGCAACGCGCTGTGCACATCGCTTGGGTTCACGGGCATCACTAGACGCCGTGGGCGAAAACGTGGACGGTACTCCACACCACCCGCTCCGGCGCTCGTCTTTGGGCGCAGCAGTGCCAGGCATCGCCGCATCCGTGCTAGCAGACTAAAGTAAAAAAACAGAGGAGGAGAAAAAGGTGGGGGAAAAATGACAGCAACACACACACACATAGAGAGGCAGAGAACGAAAAAAAAAAAAAGTGGTACCGATGCGCTCTATCGTCTGACCCTTCTTGAAGCAAAAACGACGGAGCTCCACGAGG